AGAGACCGGTCACTTTGGAGTGAATCCTTGGAATATCCGTTTAGTCATTTATAGTTTGTATCTTAAACATCCTATAAAGATACTTTTGTTAATTACATATACTTAACTTTACTTATCTTTTTCATTTTATTCATAAGTAATGCTAAATGATTGTATCCTTACCTGGCTATATTTCAGTGGGTTAGAATGAATTATCTCCCCATCGGTTACAATATCGACGATGTTGAATGAATCCCATTTATATATTTAATGGCTTATATATAGACATTAAAGGTGGTCAGTTCAGTGGGGTATATGTACTAGTTAGTTAAATAGATATTTTTTCTGTTTCTTCCGATTTGCGATCAATTTACATTTCGTCCGTACAATAAATTCCTATCATATGCTAATTACATGAATCCTCATTAAACATATAATGATTTAATTTTGTCAAAATAAAAAATAACGAGACTGCGGATTTCGTGTTGCTAATGCTCTTTTTTTACCCCAATTCGCACTTTTAGAACATCGGGATTGTTACATATTGTTATCCATACTCTACCATGAATTTCTGTTCCGCACATTTATTTCAATTTTTTATTCCCATTTTGCAGCCTTGGATACATTATTATTATTATTATTCCCTTACTTCATTTGCTTGGTTGGTCCCTTGCCCTCATTACCTTTATTAGCAAAACTTTTATTAAAACGGTTACCTTATGGCTCAATCACACCAAACTATATTTGGGCTTGCTAATTGTTTTTATCTCCCTCGTATATTTTGTTTATGCCTGTCTATTTATGTTTGTACATATTTAACAACCTACACCAACACTGGCTTTTCTACTGAGTATAGCACTCAATCATTCGGTATTAATAGATCTGACTTTCCCAGTTGTGTGTAATTTTGGTTGTTCTAGCAGATTAATTGATATAATTCAGTTTCTGCATAATTGCTTCCGCATATATGTTCCTGGTTTATATCCTATAACATGAGCTTATTTTTATTATGACTTTTTATCAATACATTACCTAATTTAGCATATTCTAGAATTTTGGCCTTGCTTACATTTCACTATTTATTGTATAATTTTAGTTAATCGACTATTATGCCTCTGCTGCTGAAGATCTTCATACCAAAGCTGGACTTTATTCTTATGAAGATTCTTGCGAAAAGAAGATTTTAGGAATTACTGTTGAGACAGCTTTGGAACGAGAATCGTATTTGTCCAAGCCTCCTTTCGACGTAGTCAAAGCACACCATTATATTTCCGACATGCGTAAAGATGGCTTGATGGCCACATATGGAATCATCAAGAAGGGCGATGAGATTCTTCAGGTAGTTAATTCAAGAGTAAAAAAGCTTTTACAAAATACTTTAGGTAACGAAATTGCAGTGATAATATTTATGATCTTATGATAATTATTTCCTAGCAATGATAAAGAGCTGGCAGACGAAATTCTCCAAAATTATATCAGTAGGCGTTACGCTCCCACCGATTTTCATATAATCTTGCTTCTCAAAAGCTATTCACATCCAGGGAGTAGTGGGCCGTATTTTCGACCTCGCCTAGGCCACATCAGCCCCCCAGTAGGGCCAGAACCCATCGATGTCACTGATAAAATTCAAATACTCGACCTACATCACCTCAAACGAAATAGGTTAAATACATCTC